AATTTTTTTTAAAAAGGGGGGGGGGGGGGGGGGGGGGGGGGGGGGGGGGGGGGGGGGGGGGGGGGGGGGGGAGCAGGGGAGATTGACTGTAATCTAATACACAAGCTCTCTCTCTACAATAACTTTGAATCTGTTGTTTACATGTTACACGAAGTTGGAGCTAAATCTGAGCCCGGAGCAGTGGAACCCCAAACCTAAACCTCACCCCGGAGCACTGCAACCTGAGACCGAACCTCACACCACGGAGCAAATTTAAACCTTCATGATTTTTTCAGGGTTATACAGTTTACTAACTCTTGCAATTGCAATTGCAACGGATAAAAATGTAATTGTATCTAAAAACTTTAATTTTATAGTAATTGAAAGTTTGACGGTTACAGTTACGAATATACGTTTCAGGACGTTATTTTAGTTTCTACCTCTTAAAACAACTGCGTTCAGATTTCCAAGATCTCAAATCCCCGCCCTTCGAACCTTAATCCTCCTTGACCCTAAACCACAACCTTGCTACTGATCCCCCTGATAAATCTGAACCTAGGTGTGAGAGGTGTGAGAGGTCCTGCAACTTTATATTAAATTTGATCTCGGCTCCAGGTTATACTAGATACTGAAGATTATATTTGTAAAGGTGCGATCTTCTTCAAATAAGATCACTAATTTGAATTTACGGAAGTTACATTTTATATAATTTATAAATCATTTTATATTATTACACTTTATATAACAAATACCCAATTTATTTCATGGTTATATCGCATTTCCAAATAAAGGATGAAGAGGATGAAGAGGATGAAGAGGATGAAGAGGATGAAGAGAGGATGGAGAATGTAAAGGAGACTAGACTGTAAATAATCTGAATGATGAACTTTAAGGATTTCCAAGTCGATAAATTTTGGATTTATTGGGAAACTCTCGTATTTGCTAAGTGGTGAGGGGTGAAGGAGTTATTGGGGAGCCAGGATACGGGACAGAAGGGAGNCCCTCCTCCATAACCTCTTCTCTATCACTGCTAAACTGAATAAAGAGCTTTCTTACAAAATGTATTAAAAAACATACAAAAAAGCTTTGATTTCTTTAAATAAAGAGTTTTTTATAGATAAAGAGATGAATCCAATATTGATATTTCAGAATATAAGAATAAAGGCGTTTAGAGCTCTACTCATCCCTTTACTACAATTTTAGCTTCGAACTCTGAAAGTCGCCATTTTCGTGGATTGTGGATTGCGTATTTACTCAGTATAGATGTTTAAGGATAAAATCTTAAAGGAGGAACTTGGAAAATCTTTGGATATTCAAAACCCTGTGTCCCCTTAATTAAATAAAAACATGATTTCTTCTTCTTGTTTCTGTTAATTCTGAGAACAGAATACTTATATATACTGAAAACTTATATTTAACCTTTATTTGAACATTTGGAAGAAAGCACAACGGGGAAATTTGAAAAGTCAATAAAAGAAGAAATTATTTAGAATTAGTTGCAATTTTCGTCTGGTCACTCAGTTAAAGTTTTCCTCTCTTTTCTCTCCTGCTAGCCAGGCCAGCCAGGCAACACAGAGAGTGGGGAGAGATGTCTGTCCGGTACAAAATATTTGTCTAAAGTTTCCCTCCGTCTAGTTCTAGCGGATTTTCTATCTTCGAGCCGGGCCGGGGAATAAGAGCCTGGGCCCGCTAGGAGAAGATCAGAATACCGATCAGTACGAAACGAGCATTGTTGTTGATATCATGAAAACGCACAAGTGTAACCTGACGTAAAATGAAAGAAAAATGAACTCAGATTCTTAATCAACAATTCATATAGATTAAAATTAGAGGTAAAAAGCTAGATTAAAAAATAAGTGAAAATAGTGTTTAATTTTAATTAGTTTAAATAATTAAATTTGAATTAATTTTCTAGAGATTTAATTAATTTATTTTTAACTATAGATGAAAAAAGTATTCTCTGATTTAATTATTATTACACTATGAATTTAAAAATGTGGATTTACAATTCTCAAATGGATAAACAACAGATCTCTCTAAAACAATGTTTAACTGCTTCAATGACAATATTCACCAAAAATGTAAAAAAACATTCTAAGATTTTTTCAGAAGTTTAAGTTTATACACATTTTGTATAATACCTATATATAAATACCTATCCATTTATTTATCTTAGAATTTGCTACTTAAACAACACGTTATCTTAACAACTGATAAAAAAAACACGAAAAAAACATTTTTAGAAGAATAATTCCTTTGATTTATTAATATTAAAAGTTTAATAAATTCAATCTTTATTTGTTGTAAGAGATATAAAGAGAAAATAACGTAAAAATCATATTTTTTTATAATTTTCACTTCGTCTCTGAATTTGTGAAGAAATAATAATAAGAAATAAACAAGACTCTCTGTATGATTTATATAATTTCGTCCTACCCCGTTTATCTATATATCTATCCACCAATATATCTATTTATCTGTTTATCTATATACCTATCCACCAATATATCTATTTATCTGTTTATCTATATATCTATCCACCAATATATCTATTTATCTGNGGGGGGGGTGAAGAAGGAGATGTTTAAGGATTAGGAACATAAGGTGTATGTTTAGAAATGCATTTTTAGGATTTATTTTCATTCTTGGTTCCTGATTTCTCAGATAGGAAAAGTGTAGTGTAGGGGGAGGGGGCTGAAACCAGGAAGGGGGGGATGAACTCTAAAATGGGAGCTTATAAAACTTTATCTAGGGCAAGGTTATAATGCAAGGAAAGTTATTTCATAGGTGTACGCATCTTTTTTACTACAGTGTACTGTCTCTTGGCGGTAATGTAAACACAAGATGGATGGATGGATGGATGGTTATTATGTGAATTATTAAAATTATCAAAATTTAATGCTTTAAACCTCTTTTAATGCATCTCTTCTTGATTTCCAATTCCGCCCAGAGATAACTGGTTTCAATATATATACAGAGTATACGCAACTGCAATTAACTTTCCTTGCATTATAACCTTGGTCTAGGGTCGGGTTTGGAAGCGTGGTAAAAACTAGCAGGAGAATGTTGGAGAGATTAGTTTCAGTAAATGTAATTTTTCAAGTTTTCAATAATTTATTCTCTTTCATCTTTCTAATTTTTCATTCATTCTTAATTTTATTCTAAAACTTCTCAAAGCACAACTTTTTACTTAAATTTTATGTAAATATTTTTTTCCTAGTTTTACAAAAATATAAATTCTTAATGATAAATAAAGATGTAATGCATGACAGGTTTTGTTGCGTCAAAAGAAATTAATCATCTCTGTTCAAAATAATAACATTAATTTCGGTGTTCATGATACCAAGTAATCTTTCAGCATGAACAATCAAATAAAAGAGCTTGTTAAAAACAAATTACTTCTTCTAAGAAGTGTTTAGACTTTTTTATGTGATTTTTTATTGACCTACATAATACAATCAATAAAAAAATATCCATGTTTTTTATTTACTTTTAATCTATTGATATAATTCTCAAAGATAATATGAGTTTAAATACCAACAAATTCTCCTGTTAAAACCTTACACTGATTCAATAAAATTAAAAAATAAAGGAAAACTTTCTATTTTATAGAAATATTTTTTGAAGCAGAAAGATAGAATCGATGAAGGTTTTGTGAATTTCATATAAATACACATCAAAAACTTTAAATAATGCCTAAAACTCCATTTAATAAGTTTTTTATCAAGTTAATTTCTGTTTGGTTGGATAGCTTCTTAATCCCTCTCGTCAAAAATATTGAATAATATGAACTGACATTCAATTACAGGAGAGCTCATATATAACATGGCTTCACCCCTCCCCCGCCCCCTGCACTCCTTATACATCCCTCCCCCCTTTCTCCATATACATCCCTCTCCCTCTTAACCCGCTTTGCTCCATATTTTAAAAAACGGTAGCTTTGGCGGTTATATTGTATGCTACTGATATTTTTGTCAAAAAATCAAATTTTCCGTTAAAAATTCGATCAGTTTTCAAAATTAAAATTCACATTTAAAAATCAAAAAAATCAGTTTGATCTGACAAGATTTTCGACAGCTGTAATTTGTTCTCTCCGCATGACAGCAATTATTGCTAAGATGAAGCTGCAAAGAGAAGAAAATATTAATTAATAATTTGGCGGATTTTTTGACGTTTTTTGCGCCACAAATTCACGCCCAAATCAACCCTTGATGTTTCTTGTAGGTTTTTAATTAATTAAGGCGGGAGGGTAAGATGAAGATGAATAGCTGGGATGGGTAACCTGGATTTATTTATGTTAAAGATATTTACTGCCGAGTCAAATTTAGTAAATATTTGTATTTTCAGATCTGCTCCGGGTAGAACTGAGAACTGAGATCACCACCCTACTGTATTTATCACCTTAAGTATTAAGTCCCAGGAACCATGATCTATGGATGCTAGAGGTTTGATATGAAAAGAATGGATCCGAGAATGGAGCATAGACCTCCTCTTGGAGCTACGGAGAGGAATCAAGTTAACCTTGGATATCCTGGATATCCCGGATATATAAATCAGGTTCAACCCAACCATGGATATCCTCCTTACCAATCCAACCTCATTCAACCTCTTCCTTATCAGTTTAACCATGCTCAAGGATATCCTAGCCAACCCCTACAGTATACCCCTCACCCCTACCAGCAACTTTACCAGCAGGAGTTTCAACCCTCCTACCACCAAAACCAGGAGTTTATTCAGAACTTTCCTAAAACCCCCCAAGATTTTACTCAACCCAAAAGTAGGACGGATTCTAAGTTTGTCCTGACAAGACATGGTCCTGTTGGTTCTGCAGGACAAAGCACAGCTGCCGCATCTTTTTACGCACGAAATCAAACCAAGATGTCCGCCCAGTTACCCAAGCAGGTTGACAGGTTCGGTACAAATAGCTCGGAGGAGGAGGAGAAGTTAAAAACCAACTTCCGTGCAATTATTTGCCGAGCTCCGCCCCCTATACCATCAGGACTACTTGCGAGAATTGAGAACGGTGAAGAGGGTGGGTTGGGTAAGGTCAGAGTTATTGTCAGAATATCATCAAAGAAACCGAGGGAGGAAGAGCGGACACGCTTTTTTAACGTTGATAAGAAGAAAAGGCAGATCACATTGTTGGACCCCACAGTGGGCCGGGGTGAGATACCTATTGAGGAGAGGAAGGTGGGGGTCGCTGCCCCTAAAATGTTTGCGTATGACGGGATATATTCCAGTGATGACAGCCAAGAGGAAATATCAACTGCTTGTCTGACTGATGTTGTATCTGCAGTGATAAACGGAAATGACAGTTGTCTATTCTGTTTTGGGCACAGTAACCTAGGTAAAACCTACACCATGATAGGTGAGGACACTTGCAAAAACTCTGTCGGAGTAATCCCCACCGCAATTGCCTGGCTCTTCAAATCCATCAAGGAGCGGAAACAAAAAACTAGTGCACGCTTCTCTGTGCGCGTTTCAGCAGTGGAGATTAGTCAGGAAGAGGAATTACGTGATTTACTCGCCAAATATGCTAGTGATAGTGATCAATCGCCTGGGGTTTATCTCAGGAACCTTCCAGCCTCGCAAACCTGTGTCCTCCAGAACCTGGCCGAGGTCCGAGCTTCAAGTGTTGAGAAGGCTGCTTACTACCTGGATGCTGCTCTATCAGGCCGGTCAGTTGATTCACAGAGTAGAGAAGCCCACCTCCTCTATACCATACATGTGTACCAGTATAGTGTGGACAAGGCAGGGAAAGGGGGCGTGGCCGGAGGGAGGAGTAGGCTTCATCTCATAGATTTTGGAGGTTGTGAACGGTCTCAAATCCCAGGAAATGGTATAACTCTCTCCGGTCTTGGAAATGTAATTCTTGGTATCTTTAACGGACAAAAGCATTTGCCCTGCAGGAACAGCAAGTTGACCGGGGTTCTGAAAGAGTGCTTAAGCTCACTAACTTGTCATGCCACAATGATTGCCCATGTATCTACAGAGCCTAGTCATTACTCTGAGTCCTTACATACACTACAGCTTGCATCAAGAATACATAGGATGAGAAGGAAGAGAATAAAGACAGGTTCAAGTCGAGGATCAACATCATCTGATGAGAATAGAAGATTTGGTCGGACACGGAGTATTGACGGAAAATCAGGGAGTTCAGATTTTACAACCTCCACTGATCCGTCCTCAAGTGAGATGTCCTGTAACACAGTTGTATACAGAGGACACAGTGACGGAAGTGGGACGGATGGAGAGCATCCTCCTCCCCTCCATAGGTTCAAGAGGAATTTGAGCGGATCCAGGATTCTCACCAACGGAGCAATATCACCCAGATTAAGTGCTTCTCCCCAACCCTTATCCCCAGCATCTAGTCAGTATTTAATTAGTGGATCCCCTGCCCGCCTTACTCCGACCCTACCCCCCATCAAGGAAACTAGTTCGCTTGCCAAGATGCCATTAAATGGCAAAGTTCCTGGATATAGACAACCTGCAGAAATCTGGATAGACGGAGATAGAGAGAGACAGAGAAGTGTCCCACCAGCAACTCAGAAGCAGGTGGAGAAGAGGTACGGGTTCATGGACGACTTCAAGGCGAACATGATCAACCATTGGGTTGAGAATCAGAAGTCAAGAGATGACTCCGGCTCCCTTTATCTTACTCAGTTCAAACAGGCCGACAGTGACTCAGGGTCGGAGAAAGTAGTTTCAGCTGAAACCCAGGCAGAGGTTCATATTCCGGAGAACAGTTCTGTTCAGCAAAAGAAGCCTACTCCACCCCCTCCTCCACCCCGTAGATCTAGTTCTAAGGATAAAGAACTTCAATCCTACATACCTTCTCAGCACCCTGAGCAACCTGAACCTGTTGACAAGGTTGGGACAGATTATCTCCGGGTTGGAGACAACCCTGAGCTTGAATCTGATCTTGAACCTAGAATTGAGACTGATATCCTGCTGCTGAACCAGAGGGGAGAGACGGAGGGCAGTGATTGTTCTGAACCTCTTCCTGAACCAAACTTCGAACATTTGTTCCCTCAAACCATTAAAGGTAATTCATGTTTCATGCATCATCATTATTGTTAATATTATTATTATTATTATTATTATTATTATTATTATTATTATTATTATTATTATTATTATTATTATTATTATTATTATTATTATTATTATTATTATTATTATTATTATTATTATTATTATTATTATTATTATTATTATTATTATTATTATTATTATTATTATTATTATTATTATTATTATTATTATTATTATTATTATTATTATTATTATTATTATTATTATTATTATTATTATTATTATTATTATTATTATTATTATTATTATTATTATTATTATTATTATTATTATTATTATTATTATTATTATTATTATTATTATTATTATTATTATTATTATTATTATTATTATTATTATTATTATTATTATTATTATTATTATTATTATTATTATTATTATTATTATTATTATTATTATTATTATTATTATTATTATTATTATTATTATTATTATTATTATTATTATTATTATTATTATTATTATTATTATTATTATTATTATTATTATTATTATTATTATTATTATTATTATTATTATTATTATTATTATTATTATTATTATTATTATTATTATTATTATTATTATTATTATTATTATTATTATTATTATTATTATTATTATTATTATTATTATTATTATTATTATTATTATTATTATTATTATTATTATTATTATTATTATTATTATTATTATTATTATTATTATTATTATTATTATTATTATTATTATTATTATTATTANCCTTCAAGTTTTCCCCATCCAATCTTTCTTCCTCACTGTTCTGGATTCCCCCTAGAGACTCATTTACTCCTGGCAAATAAAACCTGATAATTTCTCTTCTGTTTTCTATTTGGTATAATTTTATGAACCCTAAAACATCTTGTTTGATGTAGGATGTGGAACTCAGAAGGAAGAAGTTATCTATGTGCGGGATTATCAGTCTCAAGTCTCGGAGACATCTCTGGATAGGCGCGATGCGTCCCGTTTTAATTCTCTCCCTCGCCTGGATCCGTCCTTGAACCAGGAGCACGAGCATCCTCTCAGGATTCTGAGTGAGGAGAACCTAACTGTTGTTTCAACGTTTGTTGCTGACCTGGAGGATCTAGATGATGAGGATGATGAGGCTGATGAGGATTGCAGAGCGAGTAAACTCTCATTTTTCGGTGTTCCTGACTACGGTGCGTGTGAATCAGATCTTCAGGTTTCTGATGATCAATATTTTGAGAATAGACTAAAGGAGTTAAGACGAATGGCCGAGCATAAAGATGGCCGACGAAATGATGACTGTGATAAAACCCAGACCTCCGGAGCTGTGAGGTCCCCTTTCTCCGATCCTAGGTTTAAACAATATGAAACCAAAGATTCACTCTCCACCTTTGCTCCGGGTGCTGATAAACCAACCCTTCCCGTTGTAACCAGGACGGAGAGCAGAGAGAACTCTCCTCCTAAGTCCAATGAGCTAATGACTCCTCAGAAGCAGTTTCAACTTCTCTCTCAAACCCTCCGTAGACCTGACGGCAGCTCTAACCCAGATATAGACAGAGTTCCTCCGGCAAAAAGATCTCCGGGAAGTGGACAGTCCAACTCCGATCCTGATGAGGAATTGATGGAAATCGGAACCAATCAAACTCAGGAGGTTCCAGTTCCACGACCAGAACCAATAACTCTGATAAAAGAACCTAATCTAAAGAAGGAACCTAAGAAAAAAGAAATGTCCAACATTGCTCATCTTCTCCTCCGTATATTTGGTTCTTCTAGGAAAAAGAACTCCAAGAAGAATGATCAGAAAAGATCTAAAAGTTGTGAACGTGAGCTGGAGGAGACTCCCCAACCTGGATTCTACAAAAATATCAAGTCTGCCAGTTCCAGTCCACTGAAGCGTGCAGACAGGAGAGAACGGGTAAAAACCGACAAGGGTTCAGAGAAACAATCCCAAAAACATGGAAACCCTGACACGTTCCTCCTCACCCCATCAACACTCAGTCTAGCAACAGAGTGGGAATTTCAAAATAAAGAGGATGAGTTGAATGGAAACCACGAGAGGCACGAAAATGATTGCAGAGACGAAAACAGATTTCTCCATCCTGAGTTTGCATACCAGTATAGTTCGGTCCTACAGAGACAAGAACGGAAGAGCTCCGGGTATGATAGTTTTGAGGGAGAAAATTCAAGCTTGGACTCCGGAAACGGAAACCCTGGAGACAGGACGGACGGGTGTTACTCCGGATACCAAGATGTACTGGGAGGAGGACGGATGGCGGAGTATTCAGTTCCTCAACTTTACTCAGAACTGGACGAAATTACTTTACTCAAGTTAGAGATAAACAGACACCCGGATATTCTGAATAAAAACTACTGAGCATGTAAACTTGGATTTTATTCCAATAAACCTTTCTAGTATTTGTCATATTTAACTAAATTTTTCATAAAATAAATCTAGAATATAATTTTTATTTTTTATTCCATAGTTTCAGTAAAGGTTACCATGAATGAAAATAATTAACTTTTTATTTTGCAATATACAAAAAGTTGAAACATTTTAAATTAAGGTTCAGAACCTCCCCCCCCCCCCACACTCCATATATAAAAAGTTTAAGGAACCATTCTGTTTTACAGGAAAGCAATTTCAAACTTTTATGAAAATATATAAAAAGAAACAGTTTTCTTTTAATCTGGAAATTGAATACCTGTAAACCTCAAACTTACACTTTTTACCCTATTTTTGATATTTTGATACTTTTTGATACTTTTGAAATAATTTATCAAATTATTTTTATAAACAAGGACAATTTTCGACTTTGCACACGGTATGTATGTCATTATCAGTCTAATTTTTCCCTCAAAAACGCCATAACATAAAATAATTATTGTGTGGAATCTGGCATGTCCCAAAGGATGATTTCTTTCCTTTTAAAAATGCAAAGTTTTGAAAATTTTTAGCATTTATCGATCTGTAAATCTTTGATTTTTAACAGTTAGATTAACATGGCGCTTGGCGCCCATTTTCTTGTAATAATCTTAACTGTTTATTATTATATGTTATTAAGAGTTTTCGTTGGAGGATTTAAAAAAAATAAAGTTTTTTGTTTCTGTTCGATTATAGACCTTTCATGGGGTCATATGAATTAAGAAAAAAAGTGTGTGCTGATCGTTTGAGCAGTTTTGACGTTTATTGGACTCAAACAAACATGGATTACATATTTCATAGATTTTAGTTTTGTAACTTTAATTTATTTATATTTACTTTAATAATAAAAAAGTGTCCAGGACTGAAAACAAGCTAATTACCTCATTTAAAAGGGCAATTTGTTGTATGCTTTGACCATAGTTTAAATTCTTTGATCAAATGTTATATTTACTCAATTTAAAGTTTGAAGTTCACACAACACCTTTTATGACATTAGAGTTTGCTGTTTTCTTTATCTTTGTTTTTTAATTTCTTTATATTTATTGAACACAATAAAGTATTTAAAAATGACATCACTGTTCAAACTTATCCTTGCAATCCTTTCAGACACCTGTTACATTTTTTTCTAAATTATATCGTTGAAAATAGTTCTCCATAATCTTTTCTTAATTTTTTTTTTCATTTTTTGATTCCATATGAAGATTGTCGACATTTTATGAATAGAAAAATGTAGATTAGGTAAAGCACATTTCTTTTTTTAAAGGAATTGAGTTTTTGCCACGAACTCAAATTTTTTAATTTCTATATCTTTGCAATCTGATGGTGTAAACTTTATATATTTCAAGATTGCAAATATATAAAGATTCTAAATAGATTTTGTAAACAAAAACTCAATTTCTTTTAAGATGATATCGTGCAGTGCATTTAGAAATTTTCAACAAAAATGGCATCTCATCAAATATTATGGCTTCCTTTTATAATTTATTGTTTTTATCCTAATTATTAATGTAAAGGAGTGAAATATGCATGGATTTAAAAACGTATTTCTAAACCAAGTTAACGAAAACTTACAATATCATATGCATTGAAGTTACCATGGCAGGTATTCTAAAGTTTGCATGACTCTTGAAAGCCCACGCAAACCTTGCAAAAATATGCACACACCACATGGCAGGCGAAGGCAGGAGACGAGTAAAATGCCAAAAATAATTGCAATCAAATATTTGGCAATTATACTGGAATTTGCTTGCGCCTGTTGTTGTATAAAGGGGGGTCATGCAATTTCAAATATAGCTTCCTTCATATAGAGACTAGAGATTAGAGATTAGAGATTAGAGATTAGAGATTAGAGATTAGAGATTAGAGAAGGGTGAAACTCAAATAAAATTACACTTTTGCAGCAAGGATTTAATTTGGTTTTATAATGTTGGCGCCATGAGCGATATGTTTTTTGAAAAGTTTTATAATGATAAAGGATGTTGATTGAAAATCTCCAAAAAACAAGATGAAATATACCGTTGCTGACAAAAGTTGGATATATTCTTCTAGTTTTTGAAAATTTCCAATATCCATGGAAAATTTCTGATCCAGTGATACGATTGAAAGCTTCGTAGGGCGATGGAAATAATTTACATAAATTGTTTAAAGGAATTGAGTTTTTGCCACAAACTCTGATTTTCTAATCTCTATATCTTTGTAACCCAATGTCGTAGACCTTAGATATTTCAAACTATTAATACTTATAGATAAAATAAACTAAGTTTGAAATGTCAAAAGGTTTGCACCATCAAGTTGCAAAGATATTGGGATCAGAAGATTTGAGTTTGTGGCAAAAAACTCAATTCCTTTACTCCTAAATGTTATGCAAAATGTAAAAAATGTTTAACCTACGGTATAGTATTATTGGATAAGATATTTTCATTAAATTGTATACCCAAGCAGATATTGCTCCTTGATTTGATTTCATTACATGATTTATCTAATTATGAATTTGCACGAATCAAAGTGCCAAAACATAAAGCAATGTTTATTTGAATAAAAAACAATCGTAATTATAAATTTAAAGTATCTGTTTAGAATTTATATGTAAATAGGTTAAAAAATACGGGATTTTAATGAACCTTGAAGCATCAGAATAACATGCCCGGCTTCACAACGCTAACCTTAAAAGCGTTGAATGAGATATCCATGGTTTTAACTTTAAATACTGATTATTTTCAATTGTTAGTTTCTCTTTTCAACTGACTTTTCTGCGCCGAAAACAATGGAGAAAATTGTCAAAAATTCAAATTTTTCAAAGATGAAACGAAACATTATTGACGGTCCTGATGTACTTCTTTAAATGAAGGGAAACTTGAAATTACAAAGCAACAGTCTCTTTAAGATTGTTCGTTATTGAATAGGAACATAAGGATCGAGGAGAAAGGGTACCGGGGGGAGGGGGGGGGGAGACCTAAATTGTAAAAAGAAAGAGTCATTAAATATGTGAAAATTCCATACTGCTCATTAAAAAGTAATTAAAATATAAAAACTTTACAAATCAAAGTTGAACTAATTCACTGCGGTTCCTTTATTCCACCCCCTCTTTCCCTCCCTTCCCCTCCACCACCCCCCTTCCGTCACAGTCTCTTGTCGACAATTAAAACGATATCTCGACCGGGACATCATGTTTCTGCGACAAGTTTGCATATTCAAGATTAAACAACATTAAAGAAAGTTAAAATAAGCCAGGCAGAAAATTCCGCCATGGTGGATTTGCATGACGGTTTTACACTGTCAAAAAGATGTCTGCCAATTCTAAAAATCTGATAAAATAATTCCTCAAACCATTGTAGAAAGGGTTTCTGCCTGAAACCTATATAAACGTATGAATCGATAGAAAAGCCTAGAAAACAATGACTGGAGGATTTTTATCGTTTTCCTTTGAATGATAATTGAAATATAGTTTATATTGGCACCTGCTACGCTACAGCTGGGTAGAGAGTAATATTTTATAGAAAAATAGAAAAGTGGAGGAGGGTTGTGTGGAGGGGGGAGGTTGGTGCGGCGCTGGTAGAGTAGGACCCTGGGGGGAGGCTGCATCCAAGAATTTAAATATCCATAAAAGATATAGATGATATAGTCTATATTATAGATGATATAGATGATAGAATAAATTAGCAGAGGATAGGATAAGAAAGAAAGGAAAGGATAGGTAAGAAAGGACAACAAATAAGACGGAAATAATAGGAAAGAAAGGACAAGAAGAAAGAAAGAAAGGATAGGAAAGAAAAGAGAAGAAATTAGAAGGAAATGAAAGAAATGCTAAGAAATAACAAGGAAAGGATAGGAAAATAAGGAGAAGAAATTAGAAGGAAAGGATATGAAAGAAAGAAGAAAGAAAAGGAAATGAAAAAAAGGGAAGTATACGAATAGTAAAGAAGAAGGGAACATGAAAAAACATGAAAAGGTAGTAAAGAAAAGGAAAGGGTAATACATATTTAGAAGAAGGAATGGTAAGAAAAATGAAAAAAGAAAAGAAAAGAAGAATGAAAGGGTAATAAATATTTAAAAGAAGGAATATTAAGAAAAATGAAAAAAAAAGAAAAGAAAAGATGGAGGCAAGAGCAATAAAGAAGACAGGAATGAAAGAACAATACAAGAAGAAAGGGAAAGAAAGGAGGAATCGCGAAAAAGGAATCGAAGGGAAATTATAGCTAGAAGAAGGATGGAAAGAAATTGAGAAGGGTAAATAGAATGTGGAAGGAGGAAGGACATTTATAATAAGAGAAGGTAAAGGGAAAAGTGTGTGTAATGTGTATGTAATGTAGAGCATAAAATGAAACGAAAGGGATTTAAAATTTTATGGAATTAACGTAATTGAAAAAGAAAGGGGGGCAGGGGAAGGGGATAAGAATGTATGGGAGGGGAAGGGGGGATAGTTAGGAGGTGAAGGAAGATAGTTAGGAGGGGAAGGGGGGATAATTAGGAGGGGAAGGGATGGATAGTTAGAAGGGGAAGGGGGATAGTTAGGAGGGGAAGGAGGGATAGTTAGGAGGGGAAGGGGGGATAGTTAGGAGGGGAAGGGGGATAGTTTGGAGGGGAAGGGGGATAGTTAGGAGGGAAAGGAAGGATAGTTAGGAGGGGAAGAGGGATAGTTAGGAGAGGAAGGGGGAAGGGTTTGATATCAATTCTGATTGCAAGAAAAGGTAAAACTATCCGGTTTGGAGGGAAAAGGAATGAATAAAGTATGTTTGTAGAATAATTAGAAAACATCTGGATTCAACATTAAAAATAGAATGTTTAGGAAATTGTTAAAGTAGCTGTTAATCTGAGTTAAATAAACTATGCTAAGATATCCTTCTTTTCTTATTCTAGATGAAAGTTGATAATTTTGAATTCTGATTTAAAGGTTAATGCTATGAGTATGACATGTTATTCTCCGTAGAGATCAAAATTGAGTTTCGTCCACATCTCCATTCAAGAAATATAAAAAAGTCTCCGGTTTAAAATAGAAATGTAAGACGACCTAAACTAAATCAAAAGTTTCTTTAAACGTGC